AAAAAGAAAAAAAAACCCTTTCGTACAACACCCTTTGCACAAGCTCGAGCAATCAAACAACATTTGCAGGAAAATTTCGAAAATTTTATCTGCTATCACTAGCTTTCACTACTCAAGGCAAATTCTGAAATAACTGGACAAGGCTGGATAGATATTAATCTCTTTTTCGCACCTCCAAGTAAAACGACTCCCGATTAATATTATGATGTGACTCGCTCCTGCTGTGGCTAACTATAACTGCTTGTAGAAGAGGACATAAGCCTGATCGTGCAAAACTCTGCTTGTGCCAATGGCGTGAACATGTGCATCATCAAACCTTAGCCATTGGCCACCTGCTGTCCTTACATCCGCAGTGTAGTGCCCTTTTGATGCTTCCCTACCGTGATGTGTCACTGTGGACACAAGTTCATACCTGCGGCCCTGCGTGTGTATATGAATCCAAAAATTTAATAAGGAAATAAAGATAAATAGATAAATACTTTCAACATTTTCGCATGAATTTCAAAAATCTTGGATTTCAATTATTGCAAATTCTGGATTATAAATAGAAGCTAAGGTGAAAATGGAAAATGTCGGAAAAATGTTATCTTCCCTCTAAAAGTATTCGTTATTACTTCAATTGGGTGGCCAAATCAGAAAACCCACATTCAAGAATCAAAAGGCAAAACGAGCGTGGATATGATTTTACCTCCACGGTAGATGAAACAAGCAGATTCCGGCTTAAAACAAGTTCAAGAGGAAAACGAATAGGCTTGTGCAGTTTAGTGCTTCCGAATGCGTCATATCCAAAACGCTTGAGATGCAAGATCAGTATCTTCGGAAGTGCTTGTATATGGACAGCTTTTCTGGCGGCCACAACACCAACCTGAAAATGCAATGACAGATTGAAGTCATAATTAAGCACTGTGTAAGCATTTTATGTTATATTCAGCTCCTTCCACATTTATGCTCAATAATTGACTAATAATTATACCGCATCTTGAGGCTGAGAACTAAAGGCGAAAAAAATTGTCAATATTGCTGAAAGATAACGACAAGGAAAGCAGACCATGAAAAGAAAGGCCTAAAAAAATATTTAACATAATTCTTCTCTGATCCTTCAATCTAAAATAACATATATTAACCACATAACCAAAACAAATATATATTTTTTTTCATCAAAACTGTTTACGGCAACAGTGCACAATGTATAGCATTCATCAGCTAACAGTTTTGCATCCAAACAGTCCATCAGACGATAGTAAAAATTATTATGAAGACATAAATTACAACATGATGTCAAATTACACCAACTAACCTTTCCTGCTCTTGATGGTCGGTATTCATCGAGTGCCTCAGGTGCAGAAAAGAAACGGAGAGCATCTTCAATGGTTCGAATAGCTTCATGAGATATATCAAGATGGAGTAAACGAAATGGTTGAACAGTAGCAGAGGGTTTGTTGCCTGTCCATGAAAAAATTCATTTGTAATTTAAAATCTCAATCAGAATTGTCCAATGTGCATGACATAATGTATCAGGCTCTGATTCAGTTTTTCTCATATGTTACTGAGCAAACATCACAGTGTATAGAAGGGAAGTCAACCCACTAACCTCTAGCATTCACAACACTTCGCAACTGTCCATCGAAAATAGAATCGAGTTCTGAAGGAACAAAATTCTGAGTTCTTGTCACAGCGGATTTATTCTTTGGGCCAACTGTCTCCCACTCGTCATCTTCTGACGTACAGACCAGAGACGACTTTGTCCCACCCGAGTAGGATTTCCCTTCAACCTTTAGCAACTCATCATGCATCTGGTCCATGATGAAACTTAAAAACTCTTGTGCATCCTCTTGTCTGCAAAGGAAGTGTAACAAATACATATTGTTTCATCTCACAAGAAATTGAACTGTAAAAAATAGTAAAATACATGATAGAGAATATGAAGTTTCATTATTACAATAACTTCCTGATGCATGCAAATTGACCTCTCTTACGCTACAAGACGTTAATGCAATTCCACTACATGAGCATTCTGCACTTACAGAATTTGCATGCCAAGTTCTTGAAAAAACATATCAGTTATCACAGTTAGAAATGGGACAAACCTCATCAAATACACACACACACACAGAGAACTGGAAATTGGACAAAACCTCATCAACTACGCGCGCACACGCGCGCGCACACACACACAAAGAATTGGAAATTGGACAAAACCTCATCAAATACAATGCACACACACACACACATACACATATAGTTGCACGAGAAGAAATCACCTGGGCCTTCCTGAAACACTACCGGATATATCAGGAGTAAATTTTCTCAACACCGCTTCAAACATTATAGGGCTGAAAGGCCTGCCAATTTCAAGTTCAGAGACATCTTTCTTCTTTGTAATGGATCCACCAACAGCATCAAATTCAGCAATGAAGTCAACAAACGCAGCTAATGTCGGATGACGAACCTAAAAAAGAAATTAGATATCCATAATGTCTTTAGAATTTTGAACGAACAGAACCTACTAGCTGATATTACACCGCAACATGACACTCATGTGGAACAACAGACCTTTGCAATGTTACGGTTTCTTAGTCCTTGTAACAGGTGAACAAATGGCGAACAGGCCAAAAGAGCCTGCAATGTTGCATTAAGGAAACACAAATTCCCTGAGTTGACCAAGCCTCGAGGTAGCATATCACGAGAATCGAATGCAGGTACACCTGTCTTTCCGTAAGCTGCTTTAAGAGGTCCTTCAACTCGTAAGTCATTGGGGGTACCATTTGACTTCATGCTCTCATTATCTGGAAATCCTGACCTAGGCTTCACATCTATCTCGTTATTATCCTCTGATAAATGCAATGCATGAATCTTATTTATGTTGTCTAATTCTTGATTTTCAGGATGACAATGATTATGATCATGTACTCTTCCATTTTCTGCCACACGAGGAAAATTTCCGGCCTGCGATTCCTTGTCCTGTTGGATGCCCCCTGGATGCCTCTCTGCAGTTAAATTACAAGAACCAACCTGAGGTTCGAATTTTGTATTAAAACAACCAAAAATCAACTCTGGCGTGTGATTTAAAGTGTTGTCTTGCGATAGTCTGCTTTCATTGGGAATTTGAACACTGGTAGGTGTTTGCTTCTGCCAGGTACGGGTTTCATCTTCCGAGAATGACCCAAAAACCACCAGCTACAGAGAAGGAAATAACCATTTTGAAAAATTGAC